ATTCAAAAACCTAGTTTTGAATGTGTGTCTAATGCAATATACAGCATTCTAACCTGTTCTGGTGAGGCAACTAGGTAACTACTTCAGAAAACTGAAAGAAGAGTTTTAATCTTCAGAACTTCATCTGAACCAAGGTTATGTCAGCAATATCAAATGTACGCACTCCAAACAAACTCTGAGGGAGGTGCTTATTCGTTTCACTTATAACGTGCATAAAAGGGACAGTTTGAGTAGTAATCCCTTTTTTTTTTCTCCCCTTTTCCAAATTTTTCATCTATGTATGTGACGGACGTCTTTTAGGGATTATAAGACACTGCCAAGTTTAAAGAAGTTCATCTTTGTAAATTCCCGCCGTTCTAAATCCATACAGTTGTTGGTTGCGCTCTGTCTCACTGCACTGCTCTGAACTGTCTCTAATGCAGCACTGGGCTCAAATAATACATACCAAACTGTATTTTTATCGTTCTCTAGATAAGTTCAGCTCCGTACCGCATGGGAGAATATTTATTATTAATATTTATGTGGAAAATACTGTGGAATCGTGTGTATTTTGAGGCTTCAGAGTGCCGCGAAACTAGCACTGGCATACATAGAAAATACAGCGCTTTAAACCATCTATTGCCATCTTCTTAGATGGCATACATAATTTTACACATATTAAACCAAAAAATAAAAATATTTACTTAGCAAATTTGTAGATTGAGAAAATGTCAGAACTTTGTGGAGAAACTGACAAAGATGGCTGACAAAGGTCTTCTGTCTGCAACGATCTTCACAAGTTTTTGCGATAAGTGATGTTGAGAACACTTTTTTTTTTTAAGTTGAGGGGGCAAATACTCTAGTTCAGTCAACTTATAGTTGAGAACGTAAAACCTTAAAATGTTAAATTGAATGAACAAATTCAAGTTGTGCCAACTTAAAGGGTTAGTTCACCCCAAAATGAAAATTATGTAATTAATTACTCACCCTCATGTCATTCCAAACCCGCAAGACCTCCGTTCATCTTCAGAACACAAATTAAAGGGGTCAGATTTCAAGTTTTCCTTTCTCTTTGGAGTGTTACAAGCTGTTCGTGAATAGATAAGATCCCTATAGTTGCAAAGACTAAAGTCTCAAACCCAAAGAGATATTCTTTATAAAAGTTAAGACTGGTCCACGCTCTCCTAAAGCGCCTCGTTTAAACACGCCCCCACATGTCTACGTCACTGTGTGGGAAGATTTGCATAACGCCGCCAAAATGTTCATGCAAAGAAAGAAGGCGTAACTTTATTGTTGCTGCCACCGCCGCTGCCATATTTTGAAGACGCTGTGTGTTTCGTTGCGAAGGCAAAAATACTTTGTTTGGCCTTCCAAAAGAGGACACGACTAGAATTCAGTGGTTAAGTTGTATTTACAACAATGTTCCAGAACAGTTCAACCCAAATATTCAGATGTGTGCAGAGCATTTTATGGAGGACTGTTTCCTGATCCTGGTAGAGTAGACTACAATGCCGGCTGTTCTGACTCACAGTCTGTAAGTATGTTTTCATATTTAAAGAATTTGCCACTGATGATTCAAACGCGAGTTTTGAGCAGTGTAGAGTAGCGCTTGTTGTTTGTCATTTCTCTGATCACAAATGCAGACATGGTTTTATGTTTACGCGGCGCGATGCAACGCAACGCATAAAAAGACGGTATAAGTCATTATAATCCGTAATTATGTCCCTACTGGATGCAACAAATGCCTCAAAATGTCAAAAATGTCGCTCCGGGACACGGCATCACAATATGGTAAGGGGCATAACATTTCCGTCACACGCTTGAGGTATTCGGCCAATCACAATGCACTGGATAGCTGGCCAATCAGAGCACACCTCGCTTTTTGGACCGATGAGCTTTGTAAAAATCAACGCAAAAACAAAAATGACGACTTTATTCAACAATTATTCTCCCCTGAGTTACGTCTTCTGCCATTTTGGAGAGTATCACAACGCATACGCACGCTTTACCCTAAGTGTAAACGATGCTGATTACGCCGATTACGTTCATGCGTGCGCGTTCCCCTCCTAACGTAAACAATGCTGATTACGTTCTTGGGTACTCTCCAAAATGGCAGAAGACGTAACTCGGGGTAGAAGAATTGTTAAATAAATTATGTCATTTTTGTTTTCTTTCCGCATAAAAAGTATTCTCGTTGCTTCGCAAAATGGAAGTTGAGCCACTGATGTCACATGGACTTTTTTACTGATGTCCTTACGTTTCTGTCTGGGAACATTTCAGTTGCATTGCTGTCTATGGGAGGGTCAGAGAGCTCTCAGATTCCATCAAAAATATCTTAATTTGTGTTCCGAAGATGAACGGAGGTCTTACGGGTTTTGAACGACATGAGGGTGAGTAATTAATGACAGAATTTTAATTTTGGGGTGAACTAAACCTTTAAAATAATTCATTGAAACAACTAAACTGCAAAATAATTTTTTACAGCGTGTTAGTGTAAATGTTGAGACAAAGCTGCAACTGAAGTACAATGAAAAGACTGTGAGGTCAGCAGCTTTTAGGTACGTCTCGGAGCAAAGTGTGTTCCAAGACCTGATTAATAACAGTATTGCCTCAACTAAATGTAAATGGATTGTATGATATCATAAATAATGTACAGGCTTTGTTCCAAAGCTTAGTGAGCTGCCTACGTATGCAGCATTTTTAAGTCTACATACGCTTTATTATTTTAAATTAACATGATGGTCTGCTCATGAATAGATGAATGGAAGAAATCATAACACTAAGTATGGCAGCTATACTCCTGCCTTGCATGCTATTTGCATATTCATTGACAGCAAAACACTCAGTCAGACGGCTGTAGGATTGGAAGTACAGGCTAAATATCTGTCAAAAACCAGGCTTAATTTTTGTTAGCATGTTCATAGGCTAAGTGTTGTCAGTGTGAGATTCACCTCACTACTTTAATTTATTCTAGTTATTTCAGCAATCACACTACTTAAGCCGAATCACAGAGGCCCTGACATCTAAAATTGTAATTAATGATTAAATCTAGATAATTACCTGATGCATAGAGCTTCTTTCAAATAAATAACGTCCCCTTCCAGACAGAATAATGACACTGACAGTTCTGTTTATAGGAAGTGCCATTTAACACCAGGTCTATGGTTTTAATGTGTCTGGAAATTGCTTGAAAGTGGCAAAGTTGAGTTCTCCCTTTTTTTGGAAAAACATTTCAGAATGGTGTTAAACGCCTCAGGTGTCAGAGCTAAAGGAAATCTAGAATTGTTAAGGTACAATATACAGTACAATCACTACTGCAGTGCTCAGTCTGATTTCCTTTTTAAGTAATAAACATAGTGTTTCCATACTTCTGCTTTTATAATTCATGTGTGCAATGATCGATTTTCCATGCCGTGCTTTGACAAATACATCAGTTGACTCACAGTAAAATACATTATTAGAGGAATCTGTTAGGTGCCATAGTCGGTTCTCACAGGCAAAAACAAAGAATGAAGTGTGCTTTTACTGTTGGCTTTCTGTGCAGACACTGAGTTATACTGGCTTTAATATTTTAATGAATATGTTGAATAAGAACACCTTCTCCTATGCCATGTCTCAGCGTGAGGATCATGAATAAGTCAGGATTTTGTCTATGCTTTCTGAGGCATTTAGCAACCCAAGCCATTTATGAAATCTTTTGTAAATTCGCAAAGCAGAAAAAATTGATATGTTCCTTGAGGATGCATAGTATGTGTTTTACCAGTCGATGCTGTGGATTGAGAAACAAGAAAACATATTCCCATTTTTCAGAGAGGATGTTTCAGAATGTGATTTTAATTGACAAGTGTGAGATGGAAAGCTTGTAACCTGCCATGCAGTAGCAAAGTCAAATTTCACTTTCTTCTTGCAGCTCCAAGGACACTCACCACAAAGGCCCTGAAATAAACAGCGTGGTAATGAAAAACGAAAACAAAAGGTCAGACATTTGTTTGGTAGTCTGACTGTTTAGAGACTCTGCAATGCTCTCGTTGGAGGGCTTCCCGGGAATCATTGCTTAATTCTAATCAAATAACACTAAGGTTCCTTTTGATCTTCTGTTATCGGTGTACTTTTAAAAAGCATAAATACTTAATTATATCTGAAGCACCTTGAATTAAATTCGATCTGAAGCCCAGAAACTTAAAGACAAGTCTGGAGCTCCAATGTGATCCTTCTGTTGAGCAGAATCAGAGTCGTAATTAGCAAGAGGTCTCTCTTCGTGTTTTGTGTGGGACTCTCAATATGTCATTTCTATCAGTCCAAATACCCTGTGCTTCCTTTGAAGATAACTTTGATATACGCCATTGATATACAGTGGGCTTTCTTTCAAAAATGAAGAGCGTAAGCGCTTTTGTCTTGAAAAAGATACTGCCTTACCTTTTGGTGTTAAGTCTTTGATTTTGTGTACATCATCCTTGGAATAGACAATTTTTACCCCTCATATAATTCCCCTGATATAGAGGCTGTGCCATTCAGTCAAGATCTCAGTAGATTGGAAAAAGTAATGTTTTGTAACTTCTTAACGGTCTAATTGTTTGAGTTTATATATAGATTAGTATCCACTTGGACCCAATGAAAGGCCTGATGAAGAGGGTATGACTATCCTCTCAAGTGTCTCTCGAGGGTCTTTTCTTCACTCTGAACCTTTGCGTTTCAGTCTTTTCAAGAAGCGCTTCTAATCAAGTTTAATTTGATCCCATTCTCTACATGAATGATTGATCTGTTCATTTGCACAGAAATCTGAACAGTGCAAACAATAGACAAAATTAGGTCATTTACATTTAATTACAGTTTAAATCGCAATCAGAGGAAAACAGGATAGAAAATGGTATTGTTATTGCATTAAATGATGTTAAATTACATTGAATGCACATTCATTTGCCAGTTGGAAATACATTTTTTCAGTGGGATTTCTGGTATCATGACCCCAAATCTCAGACTGTTTCTTGCTCACAGAAATTGTTTTCTTTTGATCTTTCCAGGGAGAAGCGGCCGATGTCCCTCTTTCTGTCTCGTGATGATGAACTTTTGCCCGGGCTGGAAGCGTTGCCGTTCAGGCTGATGCAGCAGGACTGCACAGCGGTAAAGACTCTTCTGCTGCGGTTACGCAGGACCCTGCAGGAGGTAATGTTCCACCCTGACAGTTGATTCATGAAGCTGCCATGGCCTTCATCACGAGTACATTAGAACAGGTAGAAGAGCTCTCCGTGCCCTGGCAGTTTCATGCCTCATCATTCAGGGCGAACACCAGGAGGATCTCACACTCAAAAGAGACATATTCAGTCAGTATGAAGACCTTGGTAAGAGTAGAAACTATACTTAATGTGACACGAATGAAAACAAGGCTGTGAGAGGAAGAAATGCGTGTCATAGTGTTGATTTGTTCAGCAAGTAAAATGTTACAGCAAGACTACTACTGTACAGGTACATCATTTGTTTGCAGATTTTTTTTTTTTAATAAAGATTTTATGTGTGACTAAAGTATCCAAATACCTTTTGGATGCACTTTATATTTTTTGTATATTTAATGTTTTTCGTAGAGATTTATCGATGCCGTTTTGGTTACAAACCCATATTTTATTTATATTTCTATTGATTGATATCAGTTGTATATTTGTAGTGCATGCTCATTTTCCCCTAACTTTTTACATTTAGATTACCTATGCGGTTCACTCCAATTAATTTTTTTTTATTTTAATAATTTTTTATTTTTACAAACACTAATAATATGACTCTCTTAAATTTAATTTAAGAAATCTCAAAATGGATATTCATTTTTCGTGTTGTGATCTGTAAATTAATTTGTAGAATTTTTTGTGATTTAATTATTTAGAAAAAAAATAGTATAGAACTTTAATATTGCATTCCCACTTTTCAGAACATTAACAGAGTGTCTGTTATGGTAATAATATGGGATTTTATTTGAATGCTCTTTGAAGTCACCACAGTAATAATAATTAAAAAAAAACTTTTGGTTTTATCCCTTACAGTTAATAATGCTAGCCCAACTTAATTTATTGACCAGAACACCCTCATTTCCATTCCACTTTCCCCAAGTAGTAGCAACATGAACTCTGTTTTACATTCCCTCACAATAACAATCACTTTCCTCTGTGAAGGTCCAAATAACAGCGCACAACAGAGGAACATGAATATTGAATAGGAAGTTCTTTGGCCTCTTTACTGACTGTTCTCATTAACATGTAAATTAGCCATCTTCCTTCATATGTAAACTACAGTGTAACAAGAATCACAATGACTTGTGCATTTCTGCGGTGGGTTTTATTTGCTTGACCAGTGATTTTACGCACAGCCTGTTCTTTGCTTCTTCGTGTGTCTTTTGGGCTTTTGATACCTTGTTCCTGACTAATTCAGGGCGGCGCAGTGAGGATGCTGGTTCAGAATGTTCAGAGAGGCTTTGATTTAGCCAAGTGTTAAGTAGTAAATATGTGAAAGGGACATCGATTGTCTGCTCACACTTAGTTACTATAATAGGAAAGCTTTAGACTGATTTCAGAGCCTAAATCAAGAGCGTCTAACCTCTCAGACATAGTTTTTTGTTACCTAGGCTTGCATTTAATAGCTCTTATACCTTTAAACATTATGTACTGTAGTGCCTGTTGGCATTCAGAACCTGTCACGGCATCCTTCGTGGATTAAACCGGTTTTGTTTGTTTTTTTTTGTGCGTCCTGCCTGTTTCATTTACATAACTATTGCATTTCCCACCAGCAAAAACAGTTGAGATGTAGCCATGTGCATATATAACCATTCTGATAATTACTTCGTATTCTGAGCAGAGATTTTAGTTTTAACATTGAACAGGGTAAATTCTTAAATTACTGTTTTGCATTTTTCAGAAAATAATTTTGACTCTACTTGTGGTGTTTTGTCGTTTAGCAGTTTTTGTTTGAATGCACTGAATCTTGTTTGAATCTGCATTAGTGAAACGTTTGTCTTGGTTTTGCTTTCATACCTTCTTTGATTACCTCAATATGTTTGCACTTTTCATTACAGTTTTCTTGTCCTCTCCTTGTACTTAAAATGCAGGCGTAGAAAACGCATTAATCAAAAGCAGCACATGCTGGATCAGTCTTGAATCCTTTAATAATTATGAGTTTGAAGTGCTGCTTAAAATTCATTCACATTTGCTGTGAAGCATTTACCAAAATGACATTGTAATGGTTGTGATATTGTACCTTGTTTGACATTTATAGACCCGTTGAAACTACTTGATTATAGTCACCTCATTTTCCTGGTATTTTTTTTTTCCCCTCCCTGCCGGTGGAATAACTGAATGTCACGAGCCCCTCCACACACACACCCATAAATAGTGCTGCTTTAAGAAAGAAACTTTTTTTTATTTTATTTTACTATTTTATTTTATTTTTATTTTCCGGGAACGTACACATCACAATATCTCTCATTTAAATAATTCCCGCCCAGCTCAGACATAACGGACTGTGTTTGTGTGAACTTTTTGTGTTTTTGACACAACTTTGTGAGTATTTGACAGTTGACGAGCGCGATAGAGATGATAATTGAAACCAAACAGATAATTTGTTTATTGTTGCTGTAGTAACTGAGGCACAAGCTGTAATGGCACAGACACACACGAAAACTACATGTTTTTGCTTCCATCCAAAAAGGGGTATTTACAGTGTGGACTAATAAATGTTCTGTGCTGGATTTTGAGCTGACGCTTCACAGATACATTCTGGTCATACCGGAGACTTGTATTACATCTTGTAAAAAGGGCATAATAGGACCCATTTAAGTTAATTTAGTTTTCTTTTGGTTTTGTTTTGTTTTTTATTTTGGCCAAAATTTGAAGAAATTAACATTTTTATCATCCTCTTTACTCTTTAGTAGTGCAGTGTTTGTTTGTTTGTTTCTTTCTTTCTCTCTTTCTCTCTTTCTTTCTGACAGAAGTGTCTGACATTCATATTATCGCTCAATATTTTGTCTGCACGCCGCTCTACTCAGACTAAAATATTCCGCGTCTCTGACAGTGTTATTGCATCTGCAGCTCTCTTCCTCACATTAATATGGGGGAGAGGCAGCAGTAGCGTGATGAAGGAGAGAAGTGTTTGAGGCTACAGCCCAGAGAGGACAGGGCTGTCTGCTCCTCTGTTTGGATGGTATAATTATATAATATGTACGACATGAGCTAATTTCCCAGTGTGTTTCGTTGGTGAGTTTTAGAGTAATAACAGTGTGGCACAATTTGGGTATTAGGTATCATGAACAAGGAAAAATTATTTTAAAGCATTTATTGAGCTTGATTATTATTAATTTCTGCGTATACGTTTTAACATTTTAAGTTGTGTAAATTAACATTAGTAAATGTATTATAAATGTACATGAACAAACATAAATTAACAATAGTACATTAAAAAATGGAAATTACGATAATTTTCTTAGTATTTTCTTGTACATGAAATTGTTAAAGCAATGAGTGCAAATTATATTTTGAAGTCTTCGGCTGTGTGTGGGTCACATCCAAACTTTATAGTACTGGCAAGTGTAGTTATCTCAGAGGCAGCTAGTTCAGAGTGAGATGAGCAGAATATTATTTATAGTCTTTTTTTTCAGTAGTTTTTCTTGTGTTCATTAAATATTAAGATGTCTGATCTTTGCCTTTCAGAGCACTGAGATCAGTCCTGCCAGCAGCCTTCACTCTCTACCCATAAGCCCCTGCAGTGAGAAATCTCTCCCTTTTAAGGTAATTGTCTGCATTCAGTGTTGTCAAAATGTGTTTCTTTCCTATTAGTAACGTGGATACACACTTTCTTTGCTGCTGAGGTATTATTGTCGGCTCACACTTTGATTTAAAAAGCTCTTTTTAATTATTTTTTTCCTCCCTGAAGATTTCAAAGCCTGCAGATCAAATATAATGACAGTGCTAAATGACTGCATTGAGACCGAGGTCTCTCCATTTTTATGTAGTTAATTTTCTAACTCCATTGTGTCTCTCCTAAACACACACTACTCTTTTCATTCATGCTCCTCTCTCTGATAGAATTTGTGTTACATTTTTCTCCACCATCAATAAAATTTTCCCACTATCTTGATGAGATTATTTGGTTATGTGTCCTAATCTTGTGGAGATGGGCTAGGACTGTCATTGGGAAAGGTTTGTAATTTTGTATGACAAGCTTTTGCTTGGTAGAAGAGGATTTAGTTTTTTCACCAGGACTTTTTTTCGGCTCAAAAATATTGCGAAGTGGAAACGAGGTCTGCGTCTTTCTCTGTCCTCCTTACTGACCTACATGGAGTGCTAACAGAAGCGACGGTTGCGGCAGCGAATCACGTGACATTCCGGCTCATCCGTAGCCTAGCGCCACGCAGCGGGAGAGGGAGAATGCTTAGAATAGGACCCCATGCATTCTGACATTGTGTTCAACTGACAGGAGAGGGGTGGGACTTGTCCTGATTCATTCTGTTAAAAAAAGGAAAAGATTCCTGATTTTAAAAATAAAGCCCTAGAACCCACCTGAGACGGAACCGTGTCACTTGATGTCCTACTTTTAACAGAAAACTTCTCTCACCAAACATTTGTTATCCCCACCTTCTTAATAATTAGAGCCTGCGAAAAGCATTCTCCTGCAGCGATTAGGGGTTAGGGGAATATATGGAGCCTCTTGCTCTGCACCCTGGGAAAATGAGCTTGGACTTGGGTTCCAAAGTCATTCGTCCTGGTGTCCCTGTCAGCTGCGCATTAATAACTCCTTGTTAAGCGGGTGTAGTTGCACCCGCCACTCTGAGGGTGTCCTGTTTGAAGTTTATAACATCACAAACCTCCAGGAATAACTGAGGACATCTATCACATTTACTCCTTTTTATGCCTACCTTCAAAGTACATCTGTCAAATACTCTGCACTTCTCTAATCTTGGACTATTCTTGGTAATGAAACTGTCGGGTAGGGCTGAGCGATATGGCAAAGAATTTGTCCGTTTGATGACAAATATATAAGAACATACACTGCCATTAAAAAAAGTTTGTGGCCAGTAAGATTTTTTAAATATTTTTAAAAGTCTGTTATGCCAATTGTTTGCATATATACAGTACAAATAGTAATATTGTGAAATATTATTACAATTTAGAGTAACTGTTATATAATGTAATATATTTTAAAATATAGTTTATTCCTATGATGGCAAAGCAGAATTTTCATCAGCCATTACTCCAGTCTTCAGTGTCACATGATCCTTCAGAAACCATTCTAATATGCTGATGAAATCATCATATTAGAATTATTCCAATGCTCAACAAACATTTCCTATTATTATTATTATTATTAATGTTGAAATCAGTTCTGCTTAATATTTTTGTCATACTTGAGTCCTTGCTGAATAAAAAATATTTATTTCTTTCTTATTGACCATAAATCGTTAAAGGCATTGTGTATATTACCTTGAAATATCTTGATTTTTTTTTTTTGTGTGTGTATATTACCTTGAAATATCTTGATTTTTTTTTTTTTCCATTTGGTGGAATTATATTTTTGACCATACAGACATGGTAGCCGATGAGATTCAGAGTAATGTAAAATACAGTAAAAAAAAAGTCATTATAATAATAATAATAATAATAATAATAACTGACCAGAATTAAGGCATTTTTCCTCGCTTTCTTCAATAAATTAAATTGAGAAACAATAATATTTAATAATTTTTTTAGAACCAATAAAAAATATATCAGGCTCCAGCATCCCCTCGAAAATGTATTGACAGATGGACAACAATATACTGTAGCAATAAACCAATACCAATATTTACCTACGCATACTGTAAATTTTTACTAAAGCATTTAATTTGAATCAAATCTAATTGATTCACAGGAATGAATTGAACGTAGAATAGCAGCTCTAGCATTGTTCTGCGACTGAAGTTTAATACTATTGAACTATTGTCTCTGTCTTAGGAAGGATTGGAAAACTAACCGAATTATGTTGTCTTTAGGAAAGCGAATATTCAATATATATCGCCCAGACCTACCACTAGGATATTTGCAGCATTAAATGAAACTGATAAACAGAATGCTCACCGCATTCTTGATGACAAAGCATTATTTCTTTGACTGCATCGATTGCTGTAATGTTAATTGTTGCCTTTTATGATCAGGGCTCTGTGATAGTAGGACATTCTCATTTATTAGGTCCTTTGTCCTCTTCTTGCCTCAAGTGTTTAATCTAGGACAGACAGATGGAGGAACCACTCAAATGCAGCTTTACAGCACGGGGTAGAGACCCAGCTCTCTGTCCTGTGTGTTGTGTATCCGTGTGTGCGTGTGCAACTGTGACCAAACGCCTCTCTAGAGTGCCTCTTGTTAAACCTCTATAATTAAGATATAATTAAATATTCCCCACAGGCTGGGATTAGGAGGAGGTTACATTCTGCCTGTTTACTGCATGCATTGCTTAGGACATGACCTTTTTTGTATTTTTTATTTTTGTAATTATTAATTATTAATTTTTAAATACTTTATTTTATGTATGCTACAAAGTTTGGTGTCAGTAAGTTTTATGTAAAAAATATTAATGTAATAATGTATTTTAATAAAAAAAACTGAAATTGAGTATTTAAATGTTAATATTCGCAATATTTACTGTATTTTTGATAAATCTTAGGTTGGTGAGCGTAAGAGCTGAAATTCGTATCGATCCTAAACTTTTGATTGGAAGTGTATATTCATACAATGCCATTGAAATGTTTGGCATCATAAAGACATTTTTTGTGTTGCTGAAAGAAACTAATGCTTCTGTTCAGCCAATATAGCATTTAATCATCATAAATAGTCAAAAGTACATTTTGGTATTTGAGACACTGTTGCAAAGGTTTGTGCTGCTTAATGAAGTGTTGAAATTGCACAATGTCTTTCTTGCAAGTATACACTTGCAAGGGGGGGGGATTAAATGAAAATGAATCATTTTAATTTAAGATTAAATCAGATTAAATGAAAGTGTCATTCAGCCTGTGTGTTCTGTCATGAGATCTTGACTATTTTGTTTGCGATTGTGGTTACTGAATTTACACTTAATTTGCACTTACTCAACGGCTGTTGTTTTAATAGAGAAACATTATTGCAATTTGGAATTATTGGAATTACTATTAGGAATTTCACTGTTATAATGTTGCTTGTTTTTACCAGTTTTCATAATGTAGACAGAGTGTGTATATAAATTTTCGGTTTAACCATTATACAGCATGACAAAAATGTGAAGTTTTCACTGACTAAAACTAGACTAAAATGTTTAGACATTTAGTTGACTAAAACTTGACTAAACAACAACAGGACAATGTTGACTAAATATGATAACTAAATGTACATTTGACACAGGACTAAGACTAATTTAAAAGACTAAGACTAAATGAAAAATGGCCAAAATGAACACTAACTTTAGCAGTGCTAAAGACAAAATTTGGGAACAATTTGAATTTGATTTAGAAATGTGTGGAACATTCAAAAACGTGACTGAGTGCTGAACTCCTGTCAAGTCAGTTGCAACGAAAATGGTGTGCATGTTTATTATAGTTATTACGATAATCTGCGGGCAGCCCAAAAAACAGTATTTGAGTTGTTTTTCATTAGAGAATCCTCAGCAAGGACAGACATGTTTTAAAGAAAATATTTGAAATTCTAATAAGTTTTTAATAATGTTCATAAGTCCAATTTGTGAATTTGTTTTTTTTCTTAACTTTTTTTTTTCTTTCTTAAGAAGATATCCCTAAAATGTTTAATTGTTTAATGTTTGATCAGTTTAATCATCCTTGACGAATAAAAGCATAAATCACACAAAGATAGAAATTTCATAGCGATTTGAAACCTTTGAATGATAGCAGACTTGGTGAGTATGTTTTTCACCAACAGTAATTGATTGTTTTTAGTTCAGAAGTGACTCATTGTGATAATGGCCATTTTAATGGTATTGTAATCATATTAATGATAATTAATGGCCATTATTATACAGCTAAATGAAATCCAGTATTTGAGTTCAAAGGAACATGTTTTGGTTTGGTAGCGATGAAGAGATACTTGAGCCTTGCTGATGGGGTTGCAGCGGTTCATAAAAAATGTATAGGTACAGTATGATTCTAATTTAGTCGCTTTGTATGTCATCATCATCTCCAGGCAGAAATTAGTTTCCTTTACAGAGAAGCATCAAAGATTGACAACAGCTCCCTTGAGATGTTTATGTAATGTCAACAAAAGGAGCTCATTCAAGCCAAAGCCAGAGAGCTTTGAGCAACTATGTCTCCAAGTACGTGGCATTGAAGACCATAATCCCCTTCCCTGATCTCGCATGAAGGTTTCCAGACTCATGCATATTGCGTCTGGCTACCTCATGCCAGCGCTGTCTAATCTCCACACGAGGCTGCAGATTCAAACTGGGGGCGATGGCTTGAATAACGCAGACTGACTTTTTTTTTTTTTCAAAGCGTATTTGTGTGTGCTTTGTGTGCAGGATCCTGGGAGAGAAGAGAACCAGTTCCTGCAACAGCAGCTGAAGGAGAAAGACGAGCTGATTGTACGACTTCAGGCTGAGTTGGTGAGAAAACTCGACGAGTTCAATGTAACATTTCATAACCGCGAGTTTCATAACCACCTTCAGAAAGTCTTACGATTGTAAAAACAGATTCCTTTGCTCCATTGTCATTAGGATACCCTAATTCCATGCATTTATTTGACAGTTCGAGTTAACATCCTGTTGGTTTCATGTCCTTTCCCTCTCCCAAGACTCGCATTAGGAAGTTATGGAGATGCTACTCTGCAGTTTCCTTTGACCTGGGACAATATTTGATAGACACACTTAACTGGCAGTAAACAGCTCGTCGTGTACTTTACATGCACTGTGAGACACATAATGTTCCCAGTCCCAGCAGCTAGGACAGAGACGAGTGAAGGAGAAATATGACAGGTCCATCTCAGATTTATAGAGTAGTGGTCTTGAAAAGAGGGATGGGATGGCGTGATAGGCATGGAGGAGGGGGTAGGACAAATAAAAACAATAGAGGGCAGTAAAGAGACTAAAAGCAAAAGGACAAACAAAGTACATGATGTTTCAAACAATCCATGACTGATTTTTATATCTCGCCTAGAATTTGGTGTCTTATGATTGGACAAGAGGAACGAGTGGTGAAGATCCCCCCCCCCCCCA